ATATTATTTTTCAATTGAAAAATAATATTTTTTAGCATATTATTCTAAACACTTAATAAATAAAAATGTAATGTTATAATTTTCAGTTATGTAACATAATTTATATAACTAATTAAAAAAATTAAAAAATAAATAAATTTAATTCTTAGAACTCTTAATTATATAATAAATAATCAACATTTAATTTATAATATTAAATACTGATAATTTATTAATAACTGAAATTATATAAACACACTTTGTTGTGTTTATTTTAATCTACATACTAGAAGAATTGTAAAACTTATAAGAATGCCTAATAATTTTGAACATGGCTGCAAATATGTGATTATTAGTTAGTAATTACCCAGATTTACGTCCGATTTGTCATGTGATGTAGAATTTACAACGGCATATTCATCATAAAATAATTTTTGACATGTCATATTCATTCGGGTATACGAATTTAGATCAACCTCTATAACATTCCTTTTCAAATTTCCTAAAAATATCTAATGAAATAAGTTACATACACAAAAAAAATTATTTATCAAAATTTTTATAGTATTATTTGACCATAACATGCAACGTCTGCAATTTGTAATTAGCGTTAAGCAAATTCTTTATCAAGCATAACAAAATACTAAAAAATTATGACATTCATACCACTTTGGAGACATTGACGAACGTTCGCTATTGCCCACAGCGGATTTGAGCTATGTTTATCATTAAGTTTAGGAATCAATTGGATTATCGCTCCATAATTATTATAATTGGTCAAATTTGTTTCAATTTTAACAGACTGCCACATAGATAAGCCTAACGCTTTCGGTGAGCCTTTTGCTATAAACGTTTTCAATAATTTATAGTTCACAGAATCACGCAACTCTACATATGCAAGACATTCGGCACAGAGTCCAATTAACAGTTGTACGCATATTGTTTCATTATTAAAATGAAAAATTGGACTCGTTAAACTTGCATTCTCGACAGTCGTATACAAAAAATTATCTAAAACACGATAAAATTCGTTCCTTATTACTTGATTAATGTTCAATGTAAAGTAAATTATAATTGACAGAAATATATTTTATATCTGCACTCACATGTATGAAATCGAAGCAACATCGCCGCGTCGCTTCCAATCAATATGTGATTATACTCATTCCTTGAGTATAAAAGCTTTTCCTCGTCTGTATATGTCATAATGATCTTATCAGTATCATAAACAGTTATCTTCTGCATCACAAAATCCCATGTAATAACAAATGTTTGCCATTCGTTTACAGAAAGTGGTTTGTGCTGTGTTTATAATTAAGTAATGTTAGATGCGTCATAAAGATCTTTCGACAGTTCTTGCGGAATTAGATTTTTGAAAATTCTTGAAACAAATAGTAAATGATAAAAAGTGTAAAGATCTTAAAATTAATTTATTTTTTTATTCTGAACGTTTTTTCAGAAAACATTTTTACTATATGTAATATAAAAAGACAAACTTTAAGCAAGAGAAACACAACATTTAATTACCGTAAAGCTGTCTAGTGCTTTGCATTTCGAATACATTGCCAAATACATTGGGTACATTTTCTGTACCCTGCCTAAAGGCATTCCCGTTTCACACTTTTTTATAACGGATCTTGTGTTCTTATTATCTCCTATTACAATCCAATAACAAGAATCTTTGTTATTATCTTTATCGTTACAAAATAATATATGCACATTATTGAACGTGCGAACCGAAAAAGAAAACGTTAATTTAGTAATATTAATATTAGTAATCACATGATTATAAATATTTTTGTGCGTTCCATTAAATCTCAGAAATCCACTTCTCAAAATCAACTCCTCAAATTCTGAAATTTTAAGAGTAGACGTTACTTTAAGCTATCTTAAAGGTATGTTTTGTTTGTGATAATTATAATACGTTCTATACATATCACAATTTCTTCTCAAACTGCGATATCTTTACCTTCCCATCTTTGATCTAATACTGGACCCATAGGTGTTACAAGAGAATTTGTGAATGTCCAGTTATCTTTAGTCCATGACTTCAAGCAGCCTTCGGTTGCGTTCATTTTGCAATTTATTGTATTATTGTTAGAATCATCATAAAACTCTGAAATAATGCGCGTATTAATAAGTACAAAAATATCCAAATAAATAATAAGTACATAAATGCAATAAATAAACATAAAATATTGATTATTTTATGAATAAGTTTATTTGAGAGGTATTAATTATAGTTTGATAAAAATTTAAATATATATATACATATATAAATTATATATGTATACATATATAATTTATATATGTATACATATACATATATAAAATCAATTTTTGGATAACTTGGAAATATATTTTGCTTCATTTAAAAATAATGAGTTCAGTTTGACTTACCCGAATTGTGATTTTTTGAATAATAGAATTTGTCAATTAAATTGTAATTCCACACAAGAGCGCCGCCGTCATCTTCTGAGACACATATTAATTTTACTGATGTAGCGTTCTTAGATAACAATGATGAGCGCAATACGGTTACATTTCCGAAAATCTGTAGCACTTGACTCGCAAAGATAAAAATCATTAACGTGTTTATAGTCGCCTTTTTCATTGTTATAACTAAAACACACATGTTTGAAAAACTATTAGAATAATTGTTAGAATAGAAATAGGTGTAAGCAGCAAAATGTATAAATGTATTATATTTAATCTATAATTAATTTGTTTATTTTTAGATTTTTTTTATCAAAAAAATTTTTTTTATTAAAAAAAATTGTTCCTAAGTTGGATCTAATAATGTAAGCACTCTTGTTTAGCGAGTTTATTTATACACAAATGCATGAATCACTTTCTTTTATTTGAAGACAATCACTCACGTCACAATAATTTGGGTTAAACAATAAGATAATAACACAATTAAATTTTTGTCGAAACGTCTTTTACTCTGTGTTTGTTATATAACTGACCACATTGTGTCCGTAATATTGTCCAGAATATTCAGACTGCCAAGCAACAGTAGTTTGTTACTAAAAAGGAACTCGACTTCCTTCCAGTAAATTCGCGATAACAGATTCTATATTTAAACACGCCAAAACTTATTAGGCACGTCTGACGTGTCAGGAAATGATTTTATAGGCATCTTTATAAATTCAATTAACTAAAATAAATCTCCAATGATACAAATGCATCTATAAGAAGAGCCAAAAAAAATAAGAAAATTTTAAGACGTAAAATAAAATTTTCAAAACATTCAATTAATTTTAATTACAGCGAAATATTGATATAATATGCCATTTATAAATTATTTTATAATCATTATATTTTAAAAATAACATTTTTTCAAATGACTACATCTTAAGGTGCATACATTTATTTTACAACCCACTACTATAAAGTTTCTCATAACTTCTAACAGCAATATATCAAACCCATGTGTTTTTGCAGCTAACAATAAAGATTGACTTATATGTGAAAACTCTGGGATATATTCGTTCTCTAAAAGCTAGTTATCTTCGATTATAACTGGACTTCCATTATAAGTAGGAGGCTCGTGTTTTTGTAAGAGCCAAGTGAAGTCAACTGATTGCTATTCCAAAAAGTTTGTCAAGTCAGAGAATTTGAACACATCGAGCGTCACTATGATAATTTATTAACACACTCATTTGCCTATTCAATCAAATAATCAAAAAAAATAACAAAGAAATTTTATTATTTGAAAAAAAAACCACGCCTAATGTTTATATAGATATGACGTTTAGAAACAATGATTCCACAGATTATATTATTTTTATATTTGCTTAAAATAAATTGAATAATGCTATAAATGTATTCAATAGTACACAATTTATGTAAATAAATAAAAAGTATTTTAATAACGTAAATAATATTTAATAAAAACTAAAAATTTATGTGATGTCTTTATTGCATGTTTATATTTTTAAATATAACTCATTTTTTCTAGTAATAATGTATAATATGTTTGCATAATGACTAAAAATGATATATGTAGATAGATATTTATTCACACATATTAATTTTCTTTCTTATGATTACTTCGGAAGATGTTTCTCTTTCCGATCAAACAACAGATTTAAATTAAATAAAAACGAATTATAAAATATTTTATGATCTGCTAAGAAGATAATTGTAATGTTCAAGGAAACTCTTGTTTGTAACGAGATTGTCTTTTAGAAAAGGCCAAATGATAGACTGGCATCTAAAACTGACACGTATAAGGCGATCACCAGCTGTGATACGGTAAAGAGATATGCCATCCTTCGCTCCGCATGTAACCGAGCATACAGATCGCAGTTATCTTCATATTGTGCAGAATCATGCACTTAGGTTTCGATTCTTTTTATATATTCCTTTAAAACGCGAATATTATCCGCTTGAATGAGTTTGCGGTTCGATCGATCTTATCGGAAGTTCGATGTCTCCAATGCGCGACGCTCGATCTTCTTGAAAAGCGCTTCATAATTTCCGCATGAATGATTTATCGAACGGCAGAATGATCTTGCTGTGGCATCGTGAAAGTCCTCTCTTTCGTCCAATCCAACGGATTCTTGCGATCCGTTGAAATACATACCGTTATGGTGCAATGTGCAGTTTATCCGCAGTAGCTATTGGAAGTTACACTTTCTCGATCGTCCTCTTAATTGCACAACGGCAGTAATAACGACAATCTTGTTAGGACCGTTTCATGTTAAGCAATCTTAATCCTTACGCACACGTAATTACTATCGTGAAGAAATCTTGGAAGAGACGTGATAATCTCGTGTGCATTTGCTCTTTCATCTCTGTTATATTCTATATCCTTTCGGTAACATTTAAGATTATCCTATATTAGAAGGAAATTTAATACTTATATATATGCAATACTTATATGTATGTAATTTAAAATAGAGAGGAGAAGAGCTAGCTAAAATAAGATTTACTATACAAGAAAATTAGTAATTTTTAACGATTTGAAATTGGCTACGATAAAATTTCTCTATAATTAAAAGCGACCGATATTAACTCAAATACCGTTCCACCTTAGGATCATCAGCAATTATGATAATCAATTTGATTATACGATAATATATGTTTTAATAGATGACCTCGATATCCAAAATAACTTTTAATAGAATTTTTAATAGACATTTCTCGCTTCACGTCTCGGTTTATGCGATCACAAAACAACGTTCGAAAGTATCAAATTGAGAAAGTAATCCTTGCGTATTTATTATAATTTAGTCGAAATAGTAACAATCGAAAGATTGTACCGCTTCTTCCTTGTTTTACGTATTTCTATAGGGATTCCGTTGTAACGCAATCTACAAGTGATCCAACGAAAAGGTCGTGCGCCGAACCCACGTGTTTCTGCAGGTAACAATAAAGATTGGCTCATGCGCGAAGACCCTGGGATAAGTTTGCTCTCTGAGAGAGTTACCTTCGATTATAACGGGACTTTCACACTGACAAAAGTGGAAGGGTTGTGTTTTCGTGAAAGGCAAGTGAGGTCAACTGATTACTATTCCGAAAAATTTTGACGAGTCGAAAACATTAATTGAATTCCGCTATGATAATTTATTAACAAACTCGTCCTCTTATTAAAATGTTCAAGAATACAATTTAAAAAATTTATTTCTTGAAAAATAATTATTTTTACTTTTCTTCTTTTACTTGTGCTTTCATTGTTCTCTCTTGCATGCCTTATATAGGCATAGCGACGAGTATGATAGACGGTGAAGGGAAAATACAAGATGATATCTATCTCTCATTGCCAAGATCGTTTTGCCGCGTAAGTATAGGACGCCGATGATGTGAACAGGATTCAACGTGAGTCGAAGGTACGCTTATCCGACGCTGTTCTCTGTTGTCCCTTTCACTGCAAGTCGGTTGCGTGGGAGGCTCGTTCAGGATTTCGTAGCAATTTCAACGAGGACTAGTCTTCGTAGTTCAGTCGCTACTCAAGTATCGCGCGCGAGCGATCGTTCATCTCAAGTATCGAGCCGCGAGTTTAATTCGCTCGAAATGCAATATCCAAAAGCACGTTCTCTGAAAGTTGATCGAATCGAAAGCAATTCGTGGAGCCAAAAAAAAGTATTGAACGTGATCGATATACTATCACCAGTGCCCATTGCCTAGACTGCCTAGACAAGTTTGCTAATAAGATAAAATTGGTAAAATTCCGTTATATCGTATATATATTTATTTACCGTATATACATATGTGATACAATATTTATTGTCAGATATTTTTATATTTGTATAAAGTTGATATAAAATTAATACAACAAATTAAATTAACGTATAAACATTATTAATTAAATTAATGTTTGAGGACTTAAAAATAAATGCTCTTATGTGATATATAGAATGTTAATAAATTTAATTATTTTCTTTAATTTCAATATATTATATAATCGATTATCATATCTAATAAACGTTAAACTTTGAAAAATAATTTTAAAAAAATTTAAAAATTAAACTTCGATAGCAAAATTAATATTATTTTTTAATCAAAATTAATATTTAATAAAATTTAATAAATCATAAAAAATATCTTACATCTCAAATTTTATACATTTACAATATAATTTAATTAATAAGAATACATTTACTTTATGTATAATTTTATAATAGTTTTTCTTGTTTTATGTTTGCATTATTGTGCATCTCGAAATTCACGCAAATTCACTGTTCCCTAGAAGGAGAATTTCATCGAAGATTCACACGGTTTGACGTGTTAATTCGACGTGAAAACGAATAGGTACCCAAGGAAACAGGAGCACACTTGCAACATAATCTCGTAATAAGTTACATAATCTTAACACGGGAAAAAAAGTAAAAGATTGACGGTAACGACGCGTCTAATCCGTCAGCTTATTAACCGAATCAGTCACACGAGTAGTACTGCAAACCAAACGGACCAAATAACAAGATAAAAACCAGTTTTGTATTAATTTAATTGCAACTCTTTGATATAAATTCTTTTACTTGCATGTTATTTCATGTTACCGCGTAAAGTTCTCTTTTAATCTCATTATAATTTTGCAGAGCACCACTGTATCAGCGTGAAATAGACCCAATTTCAGAATTGTATACGTCCAATAATAAACCTTGTTCCACCTTTCACTTTACTTATGACAGAAATGTTTATTACGATGTTACGTGTGAGCTGCTCCGTGTCGCGCGAGACTAGCTGGAGTCTGTCACGAGCGTGCGATTGTTATCCATGGATTGCGTAAGACATCTATCTCGCGGAAAGCCGCATGGAGCGGAAAATCTAGCCGTGGAGGTCGACGCGGACTTCAATTATGTCGAATGAAAAGCGGTTGCTGTAATTGGTCGGTTGTTCTCGCTTGGCAGCGCGGAAGTCGAGATGCGGCTTCGTTTACTACGTCGACAAACGTCGACGAATTCGTGCCGTTATAAACGTTCCCGACTCGGTCCTGTCTCAAATTTGATTATAGGTTACATATCCGGTGTAATCGAGTGTCGAATAAATGACTGTAAGATCATCGCAATCGCCCACATCGTGACTCGTTTGATTATCCACAATCGTGCGTATAATTTTCCAGCTTTATAATCCGTTTGTCAATCAAATTACTAGTTCGCGTTGCGCTTGATACATATAGGTACACAATTAAATTTTTATATATTATCTATAATAACTAACATAAATTTAATATATAAATAAAAATTATTTTCTCGATTAATAAAAATTGTAAATAATAATAATAACTTGCTTGGTGTAATTCATATAATGTTTTACGTTTAAAAATCTGTATTAATTTATATCAACTTCTTTCTGTTTTATGCGACATTTCAATCTATTTAAATGAAATAATCATGAAAAATCATCGTATTTTATGTTTTTTAATTGTATATTGTAACACTCAAGCAGTTGCTGCATTAAAATTTTTTTTTATTTGACAGTGCAAGACAGGAAGTGCAAGGAATACAAACAATTTGGATGAGGTCTATACTTCCGCGACAACCAATGTGATTAATATTTATGCAAAACTGTAAGTGTAAAAACTCTGTAACTCTTAACTGTGTAAACTCTTAAAGTGTTATGTGAATGAGAGAGACAATGGACTACGAGATGCATGAATTGAGTTTATGTCAAACAAATATGGTGAACACAATGTAATTCTTTCTCTCTCGACCGTTCCGTTGAATTAAATGTTATCGGTGCAATCAAGTGCAGTCGTGATTTAAGAAGACAATGACGGAAAACGTGTACGTTATCAAAGTAAAAACAAAAACGCCGTTGTCGTCTTTGTATCCATCGGAGCGTCGTTACTCGGCGTCGACGGTCGGCGGTCTGTCCTTGGTCCACTTCGGCCTCGGAGCGCTGTCCCTCCTCCTGGGCACCCTCGCCTTGTCCCTGCAGGGCCCGATCTTGTCCGTTGCGTGTCTGGTGCCGTTCGTGACAGGTCTCCTCGCTTGGCGACGCTGGTACATCGACCGGAACATCGCTTTTTTCTTCTACGGTAGCCTCTTTTCTCTGATAGTCGCGATCCTCTGCTTCATCGTCACGATCTTCGACGTTGCGGCGACCTCCAGCAGCACCGGTCGATCCCTGTGGCCGCTGAAGAAGATCCTCGACGCTACTCCGCGTTATCCTCTTAGCCCTGTCAAGGATTTCACAAACGATACTTACGTGGATGATGTTACGTCGACCGAGGATAATTCATTCAATTTCACCGAGGATTACGACTTTTTGACGATTAATAACGACTCCAGCAGTAAAGTACCTGTTACTTTAAAATCTCCCAGCACCGAGTTGAACGTATCGGACTTTCATATCGATGCCAAAAGTAGCAATCAAAATGATCCCACGGTGACGGACGCGTCGTTCATGTTTCAAGAAAGGATGGTGATATCCAGAGAAATTTTCCAGGGTAAAAGCACGACGAACATTACGCAAGGCTCAATGAATTTGGCGAAGGAAAAGGCTAAGACCTTCTGGCGCAGCCGTTATGAGGACTCGTCGCACGCCAGAATGCTGCTGACCTTAAACGTCCTGATGGCTTCTCTTCTGGAAATCTTCTGGTCGCTGCTCAGCGCAAAAATCGCGTTCTGCGGAATGGTGAATCAACTACCGGAGAACGGTAATGTCGTTGCCGAATCGAAGACGACGAGATTGCAAAAGAGAAAACCTCCGGCACCCAAACCGGACATCTTGGATCACGATCGCCGGCTGTCGGAAGTTCTTCAGAATTTGCAAGGACTCGCTGGTATGAACCCGCGGCTACCTTTGCCGGAATCCAACAGAGAATTTAGAGAAAGAGTCGAGAGATTTTTGGCAAATCAGGCAACGCATAGAGTTGTTGAAGGCGCTTGAAGCTAACAATTTCAAAGTGGACTCAAATTTCAATAGCTTTCTCATAGAAGTCTAAAAATATTTGCAAGATTTCTCATGTTCGTCCTCTTGTCACACAATATTAGTATAATTTATTGCTTTAGAATTCGAAAATATTTTGTAACATTCTCATTGGATATTTCTCTAAAATTATTAATTTAATACGATAGCTAATATAATATGACACTACACCGATCTCAATTTCTTATACCTTGCGATTACTTATATATATTTCTTTTGTGACGCAGATGTACATACATTTTATTTTTAATTGTAGAAAAAGTAGAATAATTATAATATGCGTCGCACATTGTTGCACCTATCGTACTAAAATGACAAACTTTCATTTATACGTTTGCGTGACGTTTGACAGAAATGTGACAATTCCGCGCTCAAACGTAAAATCGATCGCAGCGGCGAGCAATAAACGATATAAATTATATTTACTATTACTTGTTACATCAGACTGTGTTGCTATATCATCGTGTGTTGTCAGAAGTGTTTTTTCGCAGATCGATTAATTAACGTTATCGATTTACACCACAATATTGGACGAGAATAATTAACCGCATGTTTTGTAAACAGTTTTCAACTATGTTTCCGATCGAGAACGATTAAACGCCGTTTATTTACTAAAGCAAATTATTTACATAAGCTAATTATTTATCTAAAGCCGTTGTCACTTTGCCGCGTTTGTCATACGATAAATTGTATAAGCCACATAAGCGTATCTTATTGAGTTTCATACGAATGTACTCGCCGCCTGATTAATTAAGCGCTCCATCGTACGGTACAAAAATATATGACGTGCACTACGTGATACGAATCTTGTATATATTACCGCTTAACAACCTGTGGCGATGTCTACGGAACGTTTCTAGTTTCCGGAAACTCTGACAGTATCTACGAAACACCGTACGACTTGTGATGCGGTACAAAGTTATATTTTTATTCTTATGTTCTTATATAAATGACATTTTAATCGCGGAAAAGTAATTAATATTATTGTTTAAGATATCTCGTTCGTTTTAAGATTCGATGGTAATTTTAGTAATAACGTTTTAACGCTTTAATTAACATGTATACGATTATATATACATATAATATATGTACATTGATAAGACTGCAACGTTTCTCGACGAGTATAAATTTCAACTCGTAAAAACTGCGTGTCTCACGGTCTAATAATCGCATCGAAAATAACACTGTGTGCCACGCGTCGCCTTTCATTTATGTATTCATAGTGAAAGTTTAATGGCTTATTACGATATATCAAACAATCCGATTGTATTGGCCAACGAGGCTACCGGTATTCGCTAAGGAAGCTTAACAATAGCGATATCACCTTGAAACTCGCATTCCTTTGGTTTACTCGCGTGCACGAAGTGTTGCGTTTATGTTCGCCGTTCAGCTTTTGCACTGCATAAATTTGAATGGATAATACAAAAGGCATTGTATTATACATTCGCAGCGAGCATTACGAAGAAATATACTCTGAAATAAAAATATTACCTCATGATATTATTACTTCTATCATATGATTTACACACGTACATTTTAGCATGCGATAAAATTTCCGCATCAGCTTATCACATTTATTTGCACATATGTATCATTGAATGTGTCACAATACGAAAAACAGGCCACGGTTCAAGGAGAGGACCACCACATCCGTCCGTATTGCGCGCAAACCTTCTTCGTAAAATCACTCTTTATTAATCATTATCAAGTACATTGTTCGATGGCGCATCCGACTTACTACGACTCGCCCTTAAGGTACACTTCATTCATTTAAATGGCATTAAGCTACTGCACTACAATCTGACTGTGTCGCTTCCAAATGATAAAATATGTATTTTATTCGTATTTTATTTTACACGTATGCGTCTCGAGCGGCCGATAACGAAAATAGACAACCGACGAGTATTCTAGTAGTCTAATTAGTTTGACTGATCTCTTTGTATTGTCCTTGGTCCACCTGAATTGTGACTTCGAGAAAGCGAGTGTTCACAACTGTAATGTTTTAAAGAACAAGTAATTTGACAATAAGCATCGATAACACGTATCAAATGAGAGGTCCGCCTAAAATTCTCAACCGCGGAGGGGAAAGATATGGATTGAAACGTTTCAATCGCGGATACCAAGCGATATTAAAGAAATAAATCAGAATTATAAATGACAATGAAACAATTTATTAATCGCAAAAAATTAAACTCTCATTATAAATATATTTCTTATAATTACGAACGATTATATCGTTTGATCGTTGATATCTTGGAGATAGCCAACGATCATTTGAGAATTACAGCTAACATCTAATTGGCAAGAGTAAAGCACACTTTTGTACATGGTATCCATCTATCCAACAAAGAACAATTTTTCGATTGATCGACGATTTTAATTCCAATACGCAATGGAACATAAAAATTCAGCAAAACATCAGGTAAAAATACTTATAGCGTATTACTAGACAAATGCAATAAATAGTACGAAATAATAAACGAATGTCTAATAAAGCAAACGCCTTCTTAGTAAATCAATCATACATCCATTTGTTGGCGGACATATATTTTCCACAAACGATCCCCCAACCATAAAACTAACATTCTCCCATATCGTTTTCTCTCACTTGCCTTCGTCCGTTCTCTTGTCGCAAATAATTTCTCGGTTATACTTAACACTCACTATTATTTATTACTGCGAGCAGCACGAACAACATTGCAATTAGCAAAAATACACAGAATTTGCTGCAAATATTTCGTACGCGATTAACATTTTTATTTAACAGTTGATCATGTTCTAATATGAACGATCAAGTTGCTTTAACACTTCGCTTCATGCACTACGGTCATTGATGCACATCTGAACCACGATGAAATTTTATGCCTTTTCTGCACGAGTTTTAATTATTCACATCGTTTGATATCGAGGATTAGCATAAATTATCACTTGACCGCATTCTATTTATATCATGTTTATTCTTCAATTAAAAAAGAAAATTTACACGTATATAGTTTGTATATATATTTTGTTTTAACTGGCAAGCTTCTTACGAGAGGAATTAATGGCAGTTCATTCTCATCGAAATCGAGATTAGCACTTGTGTTTAATGTAATTATTTTTATCACTACATATTATCACTAAAGTCCGTCTGGGTTTCATTAGCGTAGTGCTTTTTATGGCATCGATACAGTTCGTCGTCAATCACTTCACGTATGTAAACAACGTCGAAATAAAAGTATTGATTTTAATATGAAGGGATGAGAGAATATTGTAACACGCGTGATATTCATTTAGTATATTGAAGATAAAGTTAATAACTATTAAATAACTATATGTATGAAAAAGATATTTGTGTCGTGCGTCACACTCATCACTGCTTAATTTAATCAAAGGTGCGAAATGTGTTTTTAAATCAGCTTTTTCATAGCAACTCTGCTTGTTTAGCTAGAGAAGTTTAGAGAAGAAAAATCGATATAAACTGACACGCACATTATTCCAGTCTTTCACATTACGTTATTTAAACTTGGTGCATTAACTTTAATTAAGTTTAGCTACGCTTTTTAAAAGCGAATCTATTATCATCCGACTAGGATCATACCTATATGCCAAACTCGAGCATTACCGCCACTTAACTTCTCTATTCCGTCAATTAAGTTCAAAGGATTGGATCCCAATTTCATTCGCTTTGCCTACTTAAGAACAAGAGCTATCATACGATCTAAATTATTCACAGATCAGAAGCTATTGTCGCGCATTTCCTACTTCATTGTTTTCGTATAACACTTTCCGGCAGGAAATCAATGGTCACTTGTCACCTTTGTCGTTTTCGCTAAAAAAATCTTACGGGTCTAAGATCACACGTTCACTGGCCGAACGTTATCGTCGGATTGCTGTTGCTCCCCGCTCTGCCAACCAGAGTCCAGGGTCGTCGAGTCGCTCAAGCAACACTGTGGCGTTTCCTCCTCCTGGCTGTTTCTGTAATCCCTATAATCCCTTTCACGCCCCCTGTCGTTCTCGTCCTCCCGGAAGTAACTGGAACTCGGCGGGCCCTCTTGCAGCTCCTCGTCATTTTTCGTCCCATAATAGGAGTAGCGGCCTTGTTGAATCACCTCGTATTGCGCGTCGGGAGCGAGGAAGGGACCTCTCGCGCTTCTCGGTTCGTCGCTGTTCGCGTAATTGTCACAGGGAATGTCGCCATTGTCTGCAGGCAAAGGAAGAGGCATTCGAGATCTCTTCGATAGTTGACGCTTGCTCAGCCTAGACCCCAGATAGTCCACGCCTTCCGAATGTTCTGCACCTACAAAAAAATGCAAGAATACCGAACATAAAAAAAATGTTATAAGAAATATTTACAGTATTGCTTGCAAGAATACCGAGAATATGTAAAAAAATGTTTTAATTTGTGAAATCAATAATTTAAAAATAAATAATTTTTTTAATTAAACTAACAGTTTCTATAAATAAGAATACTCTTACAGGATATTTAATAATAATAAAAATACGAACTTATATCTAATGTCACAAAATTTAATTTAAATATGACAATTATAAAAAGATATTAATCTCTAAATGCACAAATGTATTAAATGTAGAACTTTTCCGTGACAGAAAATATTACGCAATAGTTGCAGATAGAATTTTGATAAGTATACCTTCTTTTTCCACAGCTAAATCATAAAAACTACTCTCGGGTCCGCAGCACGAGGACACGTCACCGAAATATAGTTCACTCTCAGATTGTTTCGGACCGGGATTCGATTCTTGCTGAAATGCCCCATTTTCAACGCCCTTCAAGGGCTTTCTAATTCTTCTACCTTTGATGGTTTCCTCGTTCCCGCCCTCAGGGTCTGTGCTATTAGAGATCTCTTCGGCGTTTTCGTAATTATCGGAAGGACGCTTTGTGGGTCTCGGTCTATGGTCTAAACATTTCGGAAAAACGCAAAAGCTTAATTTCTAATTCTCGATGTCCAGAAATTAATGAACTGTCAACTCTATTCTTTTATACATATTTTATGTATATTCTATGTCTTTTTAACTGACTATTATAATACTCATTATTATAAAATGTTATCTAATTTGTAACAATTGACATTTCACCTTCGTTATTTTCGAAGTTATCCATCCTCTTAGCAATTCTGGCTCTCGATTCGGTCATTTGCGGTCGTCTGGCGGGACTGTTAGGATCGCTGTACGGAGGTGGCGGTCCCCACAATGGCACTGGAGTTTCCAGAACGCTGTAAGACGCGGTGCTCGGAGTGTACGGAGCATTCGGAGCATTTAAAACGGAGTACGGACCACTCGATTGCGAGTTAAAGACACTATAAGGACCGGTTCCGCTCTCCACGTTGGTTTCCGTTGGTCGTGTTTGCGTATGAAAGCCATAATTCGAATCTGGGCTCGGTGCTGGACCTCTCGATCTCGACCAAGGTAATCGCCACCTCCTATAAAAGCAAAACAATATGTTAATTTTCGATAATATCAAAATTACATTCTTTTGCTTTCTAAAATCATATTTTGTACAAATTTATTATACTTTACTCTTTTAATATATATATATATATATAATTCGTAGGGCAAAGATATATATATATATATATAATTCGTAGGACGAAGATCCCAAATATTTTATTTTATTTTACTTAAACAAAATTGAAAGAATATACAATTTGCGATATTTTCCAATACATTTTAGAATTTTTGTTTAAATTTCTATATGTTTTATATCATATCATAAAAATAAATAATACATACATATTACACATTACAATGAAAGTGATGACTTATTGATCATATCTATTGCGAAACATTATTCTTCAATAGAAACTTTGACGATCCGTGAAATGATTTAAAAATCATGCGCAATACATACATAATCTTCTTTCTTTTTTAAATATTCTCGAGATTAAGATCAAACGGGTATTTTATTAGATATAGTGTTCAGAGAAATATCTACTGACAATAGTGACAATGAGTTGTACCTATATACTAATGTTTAAAACCAATTAACGTGCGTAGCCGCGCGTTTTATTGCCAGTTCGCCACGACGGGTAAGAGTAAACTTCAAAGGACGCGCATTCTCTCTTTCTCCCCCCCCTCTCTCTCTTTCTGTCTCTCGTACAATATGTTTCCTAGACTCAGAAATCTTTCTATAATAAATATCAAAAGCCGAAAGAAGTACATTTTAATCAAAAGTACCAATAAATTATCAAAATATAATGTATTAAATGTTTATTTAATGTAGTTATAAATTAACAATACTTTTATTATGTGTAATTATTAAATACAGGTTTCTTTAAAAAAATATATTGCAAGTACGCGATTTTTAACTTGTATTAAAGAAAAGCAATAATATAAATCTATAACTTTTAAATATTTATTTTCTAAACAATATTATTATCCTGCGTACCTGGATGGCGCCATATCGGGATTCGGCGTGTACAGATTCCCAGGTGTCTGGGCCCACCACGGGTTCGCACCACCGCAATCGTTGCAGCATCCGCAGGACCCAGCCGGCGGTCCCACGGTGCCACCCTGGCCGTACAACGATCTGCATCTCAGCTCCAACTGTTCCCAGTACATCTTCTTCTTCTCGTGGCTCAACAATTGATACACTAGCATGCACGAGAATATGCAGGCCAGTATACCGGCCACGGAGACGCCGAAAAGAGCCCTCAGGCAATCTGACAATGCGCCATGCACCGCTTCGCAATGAGGCGTCCCCTCAAACAGCACACCGGGATCCCCCTTCGACTGCGGTGCGCCGTAACACGTGCACGATCTGTATATGAATCATCATGTAAAAGCTTAAAATTAATATCTATGCTTGTTCCCATTTCGAAAACGATACTCTTACATAATATATTTATATTTGAAACGTTTATAAATAAAAGAATAAGAAAGATTTATTTTACTATCTGACATTTTCGCGAGAGACATTTAGCTGTATAGCAAGGACAATTTCTGTATCTAATAATGCAAAACATTATTATCATCGCGAACTATACGGCTGTTTCATAATGACGCGCTTTGCCACTTTACGGCCGTAATTTCTTCTGGGATATATAAACCAGGGAGGGATATACGTACCTCGCGCGCGCGGTATAAACGCACTCGCGAAGATTCTGCAATCGGGACATGTGAATTACCGTAGTCGTGACGGTGACGAGCACGCATACCAGCGCGCACACCACTCCCACGGAACCGCAGACTTTCATCTGCAAAAGTTATAAACCCAGTTTAATAGCAGAACTGTCAGCGGCAATGACGGCTTTCCTGTGGGGACGAAAAGTTTACGTGGCGAACTTACCAAAAGACCGTATCTGTGCTTTCGTCTAGCCAGCAGCATTGTGAAGAAGCCCATCAGGATCAACTGAAACGACAAATTAATTATTCGCCAAATTAATTAATTATTAAATCGCGTCCGTGCAATCCTTCAAATATTACTATTCGCGTGGTAATTAAATAAGATAAAGCTGATTATTATGCGCAGATTCGTCGTGCGAAAGAGCTCGAAAAAATTAAAAGAAATTAATCATGTACATAATTATGTCAGCAGCATATAAGAAACTTCACATCTTAAAGTTAATTCACTCGATGCTGCTGCTTGATACATTAACGTTTTTGCATAGCGATCATCAGAATGGATATCGACACGTCAAGACGAATTTGGCAATCAACGATTGATCGATTTTTTTGTCTCTCACCATAATGCCGGGAATGTAAGACGGCACGGTCTCGAAGAGCGCTAGACTGTCCGTGTGGGCCGAAAGGATTGCGTGCACCGCCAAAAAAAGACTGCCGACTGCCGCGCTCAATCCACCGCAGAGGTAGCAAAGGACAACGTACTTCTTGCAGCAGCCACCTTCGCCAGTGTGACCTGCACAAAATCGATCCATGAAATTCTAATCGCTCCAATAAAAAAAGTCTCGCACGTGCACGGGATACCGATACTTTGATAACAAACGGAAGATTACGGCAACTTGGTATAATTCGGAAATCAGATGATTTGCAACTTTCATTCCGAGAATTCAACAATCTGATTCACTTTTAAGATTATATAGCAAATCAAACTGATTTTCCCATTTTCGAAAAATATTTTTATTTGTCTTGAATTATTCGCTAAATTCGCTTGCACCACATATTCTCTCCAGTTCTAGATATAAAAATTTAATGATACACGAGGCGGGAAGGGGAGGAGCATTCGGCTATCGATGACGCGGATCGTAAATCCGGTGATGTCAAGGCTGCAGTTAATTTCGATCCCGCCGACGATGCATTATCGAAACGTGAATATCAACGTGAGTTTGAGGGTAATCGCCGTCTACGGATATTCGAGGAATTTCGCTCGCGGCACGTTTCTCATTGTGACCAGATCAGGACTACGGCTGTTAGGTTCTCACGCGAGGACAATCATTATCCCGCTAACCGAGGACCCAGCACGGTTTACTCCCGCTGGGATTTCTCCCGAGAAGGGTCGATAGTCCCACAAAAGACAACATTTAAGGCAACAGATCCTTACAGACACGTGATAAATGATTGCAATCATAAAAATTCGAGGCATCAAAAAGTGCTAAACCCTGTGGATTAATGCATCGAAAAGGGAAATGAAAGAAAATAGCATTTAAATCGAGCTGATACACGACGCTTTAATTTATTCATTGAAAAATATTGGACGAATAAATTTCAATCGCGCTTTTATCGCCTATCTCGCAATTCTCGTGGAAACTCAGAAACCACGGATTGTATTTCAATTTCTATCGCGACCGCGCTGGGGAGTGCCTACGACGCTGCTTTTGTAACGTTCAACGCAGCTGTGTTACTCCGTCTGACGGTATCCGGGTTCGACTTCCATTGTCAAAGCTTCCTATTGAGTCCAGTGCGCCGACCGTATTGAAAGTTCTCTCTCAATGAATTCTCAAGCGTCAGTGTACCGCGTAGCTTTAAAGACAATGAGCTAATATTCCTACTTTCAGAAGGCTCTCGCAGAATTAATTTCTTATTTTTTTCCTTTTTTCATTTTTTGGATATACTACGCATGGAAAATGTTGAGAGATTAATAACAGAACATTAGAACGTCAACGCAGTTAAAAAAATATTCATATGTAAAACATTTTTATAAAGATCGAAGGAACACCAGAAAACGATTATGTTTGTTAAAAGTTTACGTTTACTTTCAATGAAAAATATATATCAGCTTAAAATTTGAAAGATCCTGCCGAGATAAAAATTCGATGAAAAAGACGATTTAAAATCCGAAGGGAGATACGTTACACGTTTCTCCAAGCACGGGTTTCGACAAACATCTTCAAGAAATACCTGAAGCGAGTGATGCGTCTTCTGATCCTAATCTACCGTTCAAAGGCGGGATATAAAATTTACGGAGTGGAAATTCTTAGCCAGGAGAAAAGTCGAATGAGACTCCTTTTAAGAAAACTGCTCTTTCGATTCTTATGGAGGGTGAGTCTACCGTTTTCACGTTCCCGAGGACAATGATGAGAAATCGGTAACGTTCAACGTCGAAACGTATACGCACATTCCACTTTACGGAATACTCACGGTTGGAAAATTGATGAGCTCTGCGGTTTTCTTTGGGCGTAACACAATGTGCCTTCGCTCTGTCGTGGCACGCCTACTACCTGCATGATATTTACCGCCGAGAAAAAACATCGGTCTAAGTTGATCCAGAACAAATCAGTTATTTCATGTTTGTTTAGACGACTTTAGTCTCCGTGTGCGAAAATATGGGGTAACAAAACATCGTGTTTCTCCTTAATGTGACAAAATATGTCTAATATCTGAAATATTTCGTAGCGGCCGCAAAAATAGAGATGGGACAAGAGATTTCGTGTAGTCTCGTTGGGTCTACGTCGTACAATATACAACAATCCGATTCGAAAAATCCTCGCGAAAATGTGATATTTATTTCAGTGCCGCACAGCTAAAAATATTTCATGTGTGGCACAGATAGACAGAATATATCGAGACCAACTTTGGCAATATTCAGCCTGGTTATATGGAACCAGTTCCAGTAATAGTCGTTTCAGACAATTTACGATCTGTTTGTCGAAGACGATAGAGAGAGAAACGGAGTCTAATATTGTACAGGCTGTCTCAAATTACCCTATCACATTTTCTGATAGATAAGACACACAATCGGCTATTCTTTCCTCGATAAAGAAAAAAGTTATATGAAAGGAAATCTTGAAATCTGAAGCTTATTATTACTTTGTTAATACTGCAACATTTATAAGGAATAATTTTAATCAAAGCTCTGATTGAGATTAATAATTTTAGAATTAAAAACTAATCTTAAATATAATATTATAAAAATCCAGGGCATTATGCGTGCGTTGAAAGAGCGAGGCGCCGCAACCTTTAACCTTGCCTCAAGACAGCGTCACGCGGTGCCTATTAATAAGTATGCACATGAGTGCACAAAGGGAGTGCAAAAAGGGGTGACTGATAAGCAAAAGGGGTTTGTCGGCGTACCACAGGGATGCGGATAATGCGGCCTCGGGAAGTGCGCGTGATTCGCCGGATGCGGCAAGTGCGAGTGCGAGTGTGCCGCAATCGGGAACGGATAGCCCTGGTTGTCCATCTCCATTTCCGTCCCGAGGCGACAACGCACTATTTGGAGTACCGGATAGCCATCCATCTTCTTCGCGCCGTTTTGCGTCAGCTCACAATCTTCAGCAATCCCGCATGCTCATTCCTGCGTTTTTATCACTTGTCGTTACATGACACCGCCGACAATTTAATCTTGCTGCATCGAATAATTTTGACTAGATCGGGTAGAACTTCTGATTTATTCGATTGTAGAATAAAAATAACACGAGCGAGGAATTCACTCTGAATTACGTATCAATGTGAATTCTTCAGACCTGAATTCAAATTTAACACTAGAGTGCAGTCTCGTTTGACACACAATTCCTTTAAAAGCATTTCTCTTTTTTTTTAATATCAATTTAATGTCAATTTTTTTTAAATTACGATGGTTTATGCTATTAATATTTATCGACGTTGAGACGCGATAATCTACTATTTTATAAAATATTTTTTAAATTTTAAATTTTTTGTAATGTAACACAATCGTCATATCATATTTTCGTGAAAATTTATTATAAATATAATTTTACTTTACTTCTTTCAAAAAATCTTCTCGAAATAATCAAAAAATTATTTAAAATTAATTTGACGAACGTAAATGTATGTATATTAAGAGAAAGAAAGAGATAACAACGCGTAATTATTTAAAAAATAATTATATGAACGATCTTAACTTCATTATATCGAAATATAAGTTATAATAAAGATAAAATTACCTATTATATTTTTAAGAAACTAAAATAATGATAACAAATTAGCTAACTATATGCGCGATAATCTTTTTCATTCTACAAAAACAAATAAATTGTATACATATAAATGATGTTATGAAGAAATTCAATATTCAATATTTATAGCAGCATTATTTAACGTTATAAGTATTCCATTACTGTCATTTGACGTGTCTGCGACATTTCTACACGGGTCACGTGTCACCATGGGAGTTCTCCATTTTCCAAGGTCACCTGTTCGTCGTGCATTTCCGGCTGGGTCAACTCACTTTCACCGTCAATAATCGTCATCGGAAATTATTACTAACGTCGATTTCCGTTCTTAATTGATCGTTATTCGATACTAAGATACTTCGCATGTGCACACTCATTAAACCGAAACGATCCGATCGTCACGCTGTCAATCTTCATCGTCTATTCTTTTTAAGACGTGAAAATCCTCCCTCGCGCGTATCGACGATCGCGCACTCGAGAAGATTCACAGACTTCGGTGGCGGACACGTTGTGATGTGTCCCACAGGTGGCGGCTGCCGAGTGGTGTTTGTCAAGACCACGCAAGATTCGGGTAAATCGGATTTTTTTTTCACGTCAGCAAGGAAGCGATTCCAAACACGCTTAGCACGCAAACGCCACGTCGTTAGCGCGGTGGCTGCATCGTATCGTCGGTCCGCTTTCAAGCCCCGCTCGCATCCCTCAATGGGGAGGATCGTCCTACTCTCGGTTGGTGCAAGCATCGACTGGTCGATATACCCCCGGATGATTCGAGCGACCCGTCGCGGTCGGGGGTTGAAATTCCGTAGGAATGCGGAGATGCAATTCCCCCGAGCAATCGGGGTAGAAACCTAACGCGTGGTCGTCGATAACGCGCGTCCACGTCTGATAAGACGAGCGCGCCAACGTCGCCACCTCCTCGTCCGGCTGACAGTGCAATTGTCGTGATAATCGTGAAACCGCTCGACATAGGATGGAGCTACTACCAGCGACGCGCGACATTTCGCGACCACTCGGCGAATTTTCAGGAAACATCTGACGTTTCAACGATTGCCCGACATTTCAATTTCGAATGGAAATTTAGTCATATGGAATGAGTATTAATGTCATCCATATCGTGTATATGGTCGTCTATCGATTATTCATATTATACGTGCAAGCATAGGAAATATTGCGGTAATACTAAATCCTTTGATAAAAATATGACTCCGTTTAATATTATAAATTATTCAATAAATTTTGTTAGAGAAAAAATTTTATACAAAATTTAGTTATAATAAAATTAAACGATTTTGATAACAGGAACATTTAGTATATTATTACACGGAGAGAATTTTTTTTTAAATTTACTCTGCAAATCGCATTAATTATGAGACAATATAGTATTTAGGCAAATTTTACTGTGCACTACAATAAGATTTCGCAGTAAAATTTACCTAAATACTATATTGTCTAACAATTAACATGATGTTCAGGGTAAATTTTAAAAGAAAATTCTCTCCGTGTACATTTAATACATTTTTTGCTGACAACTTTTCATCTAAATGTAATTAAGTATCATAAATCAAATAAAATTAAATAAGTTAGAAATCTACATTATATAAAAAAAAGTTGCTTACATTGATTGGTGGTAGTCGTCTCGTAACGTCTTGTTGGTCTCGGTGGCGGACGTGGCGGAAGAGCAGGGGGTTGATGCGTTCTTGATGCCACTTCGACACCTTCGTCACTCTCGCCCTCGGTTCCTCCGTTGTTTCCTCCGGACTGTATCACGTGACATTGACATTTGTTCTTCGTTGGTGCCGAAACCTAAAACGTATCAAAGTACGTACGTACATTAAATCACATCAAAGCAGCTTGTCGACAATTGTCGAAAGTAGAAAGTAGAAGAAAGCAATAAAAAAAACTCCTTTTGCATTGCGTGAACAAAACTTAATGTGTTGCCATATGCATCACTAATTTCATGTCGTTAATTTAGATTTTAAAACAATTGATAAAGATTTATGCGAATTGATCTACAGCGAAATGTATCGTTATCGGCTCGTTAAGGGTATTAAGGATAAGCCGTTGTATTAAAGCCGAGTATTAAAATAATAAAAAATAAAATGATAAACTTTTATGGATAATAAATGTGTGCTTTGCGTACGTGTGTTATTTTTAATGACATTATATATGGTTCAAACTTTCTTTCTCGGTCATTTAACTATTGATGATCATGATCGTTAAATTTGAGCGAAGCAAATGGATCGTATAATTTTTAGTGTTAACATATCAAGCTTCGTTATCAACACTTGCAAGCAAAGAATGCCCGATGAAATATTTTTTGTCGCACTCGCGGCAAAATTCGAACATCTCTGCAACGGGCACCGATCATTAATCATTCGCGCGCTGCACATTTGGCCCTCGGCTGAAAATATTTCCTGATATAAGCTCTAAGGGCAGAACCGTTGCTTAGTACACGATTTATAGCTTCTCGCGTGGCCAGGACACGGCGAACGTAACTCAAGCGTGCGCGGATAGAGATATGGCGATTCACGAACATGTATTTTCTCAGATGTGGCGGCAAAAACGGCTAGGAATATACGAGCCGCTGGGCGGAACGGTGGCATAAGTCATTCTCCTCATTTGGCGAAGCACGAGGAAAATTTATGGAAGTGCAATCGTGCAAGATCTAATTAATTTCTTAAAACGGTCCTTTGACGAGAGACGGCGGGAGAGAGAGAGAAAGAGGAAAAGATATAAAATTTTGTAGCGTCTCAAACTAATCGGGTGCGAAAAATTTCGTGATTTTTATATAAAGTAAATCCAGATTTGCATACCTGAATGGCGTCGATGCCCATAAGAGACGCGTTTTTAGTGTCGCTCTGCCCGTGCGGGTGGCCGTGATTGTGCACGTGTCCGTGGAGATGTCCATGATGATCCAAGCTCGAGGGCGCCCGATCTCTCGGCCTGGTATCGGGATGACTCGCGTGCAACGGGTGCACCGATTGCAGATGATGATGATGATCGTGGACGTGATCCAACCTGCTGTGCGTTCTGGTATTAGCGTTCGACGACGAGGACTCGCACGATATGCCGGAGCTGACGTGATGATGGTTCACGCTGGAATGACCGGTTAAACTACCCGACGAGCTGCCGTGATGGTGACCACCCAAGGGTGTCGTCGACAAGCTGCCGTTGACGTTGACCACGTGGCGGTGCACCGCGGGCGATCCACCGTGGTTCATCATGCTCGAATTCGACGACGCGCCGCTCAGAGCACCCGAAGCGCCATGATGATCGCCGGGAAAGGCAGGATTCGAATGGTGAGCCAAGCTGGAGCCGGCGTTGAGCCGATGATGACTATGGGGGGAGTTCAGGTGGTTTATCGTGGCCGCGATAGGCATCGCCGTTGGATGATGGTGTCCGATGGAGGTGGCCGAGCTGGTTTGATTCAGGGAACCGGAACCTGTAACAACAACGCAACAACAAACTCATTAACATACTATAGTAACTAATACGAAGATCGTAAAAATAGAAGGTACCAACCAGATCCGTTCAGAGAACCAGAATTTCCATGGACATGGCCAGTGAGACTAGTTGTCAGACTTCCATGATGATGTCCTTGCGTGTGTGTGTGATGTACCCCGGATCCGTGATGATGAGTAACGTTCGTCTTTGCGTTGCTGTGATGATAATGCGTGTGCTGTCGCTGGTGCTGTTGCTGAAAGCCTATCAAGCCCTCGTCCAGATTTGTATTATTCCTGTAATTGTCGTGCTTGTAAATGTGGCTATGTATGTCGCCATGAAAATGTCCATGAACCCCACGTTCCGCTTCATGATGATGCTGGTAAGGATTCAACACCTGCTGTACATTCTTCAGCTTCTCCTTGCTGGAGTTCTGCTTCTGCGGCGACAAGCCGGCGTGATCTTCCAGTTGCTTATCTAATTCTTTGCTGGTCGTATCGAGCAAATTCGGCCCTGTTTCCAGCAGAGGACTGGGACTCGAGGTCAAACTGTGATTGTGCTGATTGTCCTGTAGACTCGAGGTTTCCTGAACCCTTCGGGCCGCCTCGAAAGCCAAATTGCGAGACAAGTCCAAGTTACGCGGACTGCACGAAAGATTATGCCCGTGAAGAGATAATAATGAATTTTGATTATTCATGGATCTAGAATTAGACGATATATTCGCTTGATGTTCCAGAAGATCGACGTTTCTAGTATTGTCCAGACTGATCTGCGATTTATCCTGATGGGGACTGTCCAATCTTCGTATCGGCTCAAATACGCTCTGCAAGGTCTCCAGATTTCGCGGGAGATCTTGATTGTTCGAGATCCTGGTGTTATTCATATTTCTTTCCCTCGGTGTTCTTATAGAATCTCTATTGTTAATCGTAGAACACTGACAGGGATGCTGTGGATTTTCTGGCACGTCCAGGTCGCTAATCAATTCTGGTTGCGACATTTTAACATCTAGAATGAAATAATGCACAAACTATACAGATTGAATGTATGAAACATAAATTTACAATCTATACTTACTCGAATATTGCTTCAATTTGACTCTAATAAATAATAAATCGTCTTTGAATGTACTATACAACTTATAAAACAATTTATTTTTATTTATCCATTTTTCATATTTCAATAACTTCTTTTAATTCCGTGTCATTAAAAAAAAATCTCGCTGCGATATAATTACGAAAATAATTTTTATAACTATATGTATTATAATTCTCACCCATTAATAATATTGCAGTAACATGCTACCTGCGTATTTTGTAAAAAAAGAATTCTGAAGACTAGTTGACTCCGTAAAGTATAATTTTTTATTTTTCTTTGAGAAATAACGGAAAAAATACGGAGTGTATCAGTCAGCCGCATAATAAATAAGAGAGGAATATGAAACAAAGTGCTCGCTAGATGCATCTCCCTGGTTGCTCTCTCTTTTTATATGTTGCCCGTGGTAGCTCCCGCTGTTTCGTAATATAGAACGATTTATCAAGTGCAACGATGCGGGACATCAAAACGAACCACACCACTCGTCGCGATACATGGAATACCGGTCACCACGCGCTCGCGAATCGTTCGACGCATCGATCCTGATCTAGACGGCCGGTGTGTCACCGCCGTTGCTGCCAACCCTCGTCTGAAACTATCGCGTGTATGACAGTAATGAGTTGCGTCCATTTGCAATCGAATGAAAAACGCGAGCCGTTGCTGAATAACAGTAATCTAGTTTTTCCCATTTGACATGCGCTTCTGTCGACGTGACATAGAGAGAAGATTTAAAAATTATTGTTTTAAAAAGACTTCGTAAACACAAATATAAGATACACTTTCTAAATGAGTTAAGAACGTTAAAGGAAATCTCACAGAATTTTATATTAAACAGTCGACAATTAATTTATTACTAATATAAATTTACAAAATATCAAATATTCTCATATGAAAATTTTCTTAACATACAATAAAATAATAGAAAAGACTCCTGAGACAATGGGAAAGGACTAATTTTATCAGCAAAAATCAAATAACTGACGAATCTCTAAATTATCACAAGCCATGATGGCATCGTATCGGATGCGGAAGCTCGAGAAACTTTATCATCACTTGTCGTTAAAACTTTTCCAGTGACTTTCCCCGAACTTGAAGTCTTTGAAAAGACTTTAGTGTCCGTCATGACTTTTCAAAAGAGGGGTGGTCTTTTACGACTGAGCATTGTATGGAGACTTCAAGAAGGCACTGAAGCGGTTTATTACGCGTTTATCTCGTTAAGAATTGTTACGGATTTCAATCGTAAGTTTATTAAACTGGGCTGAGAAAACATCAGATTGTAATTTAAATAGATAATTAAATGTGGGAATTATTAGATATAATTAACCATAATAAATTCAATTTAGTTAAACAAATATTAATGTTATTAAATTAAATATTTATGAATATATTTAAAAAAATATTAATATTTTTAATTGGAATGAACAAAAAGATATCTATAAATAAACGTCGATTTTCTAAAATTTTGTTTCATTTAATAATCGTAAGACTGCAATCAATGTTAGATATATCATTCGAGATATATCATTAAATTAATTTCAGTCCGTGCATATCGTTTCACGCAGAAAATTTTGAAAAAATTTAAAAAATGCAAAAAATTTTGCCTTGGGAAAACGATTATGTTTCAACGGTGCGTCGTGTCCATTCAATATCGGGCATTCAGCTGCTATGACCAGTCCGAAGTGGTCTTCGTAAGTACAACCAGTGAGTCCGAGCCGCTCACATTCCTCGTATCTCGTTATACGAGCGCAAAGACTTCGAAGGCCACGGTCAAGTTCGATGGCGATGGCTTGTGCTCGGGGACGCCGCAAGTTTTTTCTTTCGTTCGATGATCTCGCGATAGTCGGCAAGAATGGGAATATCTTCGCGGCACGTGGATTTAATTTCGCTTATCCAGGAAAACGCGATTGGACAGTCGTCGCGCACGCTCGTCGACGAAATCGCGCAAGCACGGCTTTTACAAAGAGCATTTCTGTGTGATTGTCGCAATTATAAAGTTCCAATTTAATCGATCGAAGCTATCAATCAGATACCGATTTTGTAATTTTAAAATTGCGAACTGAATTTGCCAAATAAAGGAGCTAAATCGAAACTAGTTTGCTAAACAGGAATATCCATAAAAATAATTGTCGACAAGGATTTCAACACATGCGAAACACAAATCACCGTCTGCAGATCATTACGCAATATGTAATATACAAATACCGATTGAATAAAATTCCAAAAGTTTCTTACTTGTTTGCTCGCGAAACGATAATCGATTATGCGAATCACGATCAAGAGTTTCTCCAGGTTGCTCTTCGTGAGACGGAGTCTTTACGGCTCGCCGGCGCGGTCGCGAGACCGTGAGAAGAAGTGACGACCTTTTCGTTGGCGGTACAGAGGCCCCGCGTTTCGCACGCGCGTTACGAAATCGCGCGACTGCACTGTAAGTCCTCGTCGTAATCTGTAGCGCGATCGAAATATAACGTCGTCGTCGCGTTTGCGCTCACCTGCGAGTCGATTTTCCTACGAGTCGACCGGATCCTCTCAATCACTGTCGCCCGACGGCTGTGCTCTGCCTTCCGCATGCCCCGAGAGCTGCACACGATGCAAGGCCCCGTTGTGCGACTGAACGGTTTCCTCGTTTCTCGTTATCCCTCGAGAACAACCTTCTGCGGCTCCGAGATGGTGCATTTTCCGAAAGGTGCGTGTCCCAAAGTCACTTTCTCTGCTTTTCCAGTTGTTAATCGACGCGACGCTTAACGGGGCTGCGATGTGTTTCTTGAAGCGTCACGTCGAGAGGGACCATGGCAGTCCCACGGCGAAGAGCAGGAGGACTCAAGTGCCTCCAGTAACAAGCCTCAGTGCAACAGATGTAAGAGTCTTGAGAGTTCCTCCGTTAACGACGATAAAATTTCGCTGAGCAATCGGTTATTTATACAGAGCCTCTTGATAAAGCAATATCGAAAAATCAGTCACTGACTTTATAAATTATTGCCGTGGACCATAAATGATGAACTCACAAAGAAGCGGAAGCAGAGACCGTTAAATATTTAAAATTGATCATTCTTAATAATGTAACTTAATAATTTTAAGTAATAATAAAATTAGAAATTCAACATTAACAGTTTTAAGTCTGCCTCGCAATAAATTCTAACGACAAGTAAATTCTCGAGGAGTTAACTAATTATTGAAATAAAAAGATTAGCACGCACACGTATTATTCACAAAATTTGTATCGATGTCACGATGATGCTGAGTAGCACGATAAATCACAAACGGCAATAATTTTATATATAATTATATATAAATTCCTCGTCGCTAACTGACGAAATAAACTCACGGTTTTACACACTATACTACACACACAGGCTCGCCTGAATTCAACGAACTTCAGAAATGTGACCTGTAGAACAGGTAAACAAATTTTTCCAACACTCCGACAAGACACCGATAATTCTCGATAAAATTCGCACGTTCGTTATATCGCGATAGCATAAAGACCACAACGGAGCAAATCGAGAAGAGACGCGGAGCAGGATATCGGTGAGAGAGTGTTGGGGCCTTCCACCTTCACTGGCAGCCGTTCTGCCTTGGAATGTGCCTTTGCCCCCTGTTCTCCCCTCTCGAGTCGCTAGAGGGGCCCCAAGGGCCCTGACTGTTACACGGCGTCCGTCTCTCCCTACCAGTCGTGCTGGTACCAGCCGGCCGATTCGGTTCTTGGATCGACCGCGTGTCAGGCCCACCCACTCTCGCAAGCCTCGAGCTAACTCAATAGGTAGGGTAGAAAATGTTCAGCTCAGTTTAAGCAAGACTTTCAGGAGCACATTAACTTCTTGTTGGTTGTTATTGGATATGATATATAAGCAATCGTTTTATTGGCAAATGTATACATATATATAGCTCCTGAATCAAAGTCAGCCATCGTCATGCATTTATCCCGAATAAAACTGACTGCTTCATGAACAAATCCATCTATTTTGTAAAAGATATTAAATATAATATCAAATTTATATATAATGTAAATTTAATGTAAATTTAATTATGTAAACATTTGTGAAATAAAAATTTAACTCTTCTCTGTGTATTATCATTAAAATAATATTTATATAAATGTATTAAGAACATCTAAAACTGAAAGAAGCATATCTATTAAAATTTTCTAATTTTTTAAAGTAAAGCAAAAGCGAGTTATTAATAAAATCAATTTTGTAACAATGGTTCAATAGTTTATAATAATTTGTCATCGAAAATTAAAAGATATAATTAAAGATTAAGAAGATTAAAAGATATAATTTTCAGGACAGAAAATTTCTCATGAAATACATCCTTGAAGATAGTGGCGAAGATAAATACTTTTGGAAGCACTTCAAGTATTCTTACAAATATCTACAGTTTGTTCGGTCGAGAATTCTTCAAGCCGGTTTATCCGGTGGTATCCCTTTTTAAGGGACTGTCTTACCGAGTAGTAGTAAGCGATCCGATCGGCGTTTCGTTGTTTGCAGCTGATAATTTAAAAAAACACATGCACAGTGTCTTTGCCAAAAGAAAAATTTGATATCATCGAAAAAATGAAGTCAATTTGAAGGTTTGGACTTTATTGCTTAATATATTTTTTCCAATGGCTTGACATAAAATACAAAAGTAATAAATTTCTACGTTTTTTTAAAAAAAGAAAAGATTTAAAGATCTAGCAAGATTATTATATACGGATACCTTAAGGAAAGAGCTTACGCGCGAACGTAAGTAATCGATAAAATAATATAACATGTAGAAACACGTTGCAGGATAATGCAATATATATTGCATCTACGCGGGTAATAGAATGTTACTCTCTTGACAACAGCTTGTTTTACATAAATATTCGGCTCTCGAAACAATGGGATGCCATGGGTAGTATTTACCGAAATAACATGGAAGCGTAAGCGTTATGGACTCATCCATACAAACAGCCGTTGAATGGGCGTTTCTCAACCAAACATAGAGACAATGGAGGCATGATCATATACCGAACATGATGCCAGACTCGCTTCTATAAGCTTTTTGTGTAGACGCATTTTTGGTACGTATATAGACACCATATGCCATGCACGTCGCGCATTGATGCATTGCGCGTTCCTTACGCACAACTCTAATCAATTATACCAAATGAATCCACAACCTCGAATCAATATAAATTATTATTGTCTCAACAAATATATATATATATATATATATATATATATATATATATAATATTAATTGATCGATTGCAAGATGATTAATTAAAACTTTCAATTTAAATTTAAATCAGACTACATTTTTCAAATTTAACTTACAATAAATTGGTCGTGTCTTATATTTTGATTAAGAAATTTCGTGTAATGTAAGAAAAAAATGTCTGTGTGAAAGGTACGCGTAATAAATGTAGATTGCGGGACACTTTTTTTTTTAGTAGAGCGCATTCGTGTTGCCATTGCATCTAGGAGAAAGAAAGGACTCTACGAGCACAATGGTCTACGTAAATTAAGGGTCAAAAGTTTTTAGCTTCGTTAATTACGCGAACACTTTAAATGACGCTATTATCATTCCAGGAATGCTGCTAGCAAAATGCTATGCGTAATATAATTTCATTTCTCTTTCTTCTTTTTTTTCACTGACGTCTAGAATCTAGATCAATAAAAATAAAGGAGCATTGCTTATTAATTACATAATTATAATATAATATTAAATATTAAGTTATATTTTATTTAAAACAGTCAATTAAATAAATAATAATTACCAGCTTCTTAAAAGTTAATTAATCAATACATAAGTTCAGCACAAGTTAACATTTCTCAATAGATAAACTGGCCATTCGATCGTTACTTCAAAGCACGAAGCCGACGTTTCGATGCAATGGCGGCAGATGGCACCGTGTGTATATATAGTTGTTAATCTTGTTTTACATATAATGTTAAAATAAATTTAAAAAAATGAAAAGCATCATAAAAATTTTTATTGTATACTAAATACTTTAAAACAATGAATTATAAAACAGAGCAGAAAAATGCTATTAAAAGTCAATTTATTTATTTACTTATAAAACATACTATATAATACAGTCAACAGCATTAATTTGATTCTAGAAGCATAAATAAAATTTAATTCAATACCTATTGTATGACAAAAAAGAAAAGACCGTGATAAAAGATAGTCGCGTCCAATATTTGTGCTGTAACAAATCGATTCACGAAAGAATCTGTGTATGCGGGTTCACAATCCCCCTAACAATCACAAAAAAAAATTCGGCCTTGGACGCAAGATCAGCTCACGCCCAAATGGAATCGCGGTTACGCGGTAGAATTATTATCCCGAGCGTGTACCGGCGCGCGCGATCTCCGGAATAATCCTGCCGTCGAGAGAGTCCTGCAGTGTGTGCGAAACGGAAATCAACGCGAATGCGATCACGTGCGGAGGTATCGAGCACGTTGACCTCCAACGTTGAGCTATGCCGACTAACCGAGCATAAGTTCGGCCGTTTCCTTTCCGATCCTGCCCGCGTTCCACTCCGGGGTCCGGCTTTTCCTCCTCCTCCTCCTCCTGCTCCTTCAGCGAGGGAGAGTTATGAGTTATAGCGGGTTATAGTTTTACGAGAGACGACGATTGCCGGGACGGAAGGGGGCCGCTGCCTTCGCATTCGGACCATTAGTCCGGCACGGCAATTCGTCAAATCGGGAGAAATGTAGTATCAATAACGTACCGCAGCTGCTGCCACCGAAGCATGCATTTCCCTGACGCGCAAATTGCCAGCGCCGATGCCTTTTCGAACGGACGCGAGCGACAATCGTTTCCGATTTCGCCCACTCTTGCTCCCGGCACCCCCGTGCTGCTGCCCCTTCGCCTCTTCCCCCCCCCCTTCCACCCGTACTTCCTCCTCTTCTCTCCCTTTAACCAACGGTACCTGCTGTTTTTACTCGGCGTCGATCCCGTCGATTTCCGGAAAGCGCGCTTTTTTTCTCCGTCAACCAATCCGTCGATTCATCGCCGGCGCGGATAGCACCAGTCGTGCTAATGGCTAGATTATCTTCTGCAAGTGGATTTAATTTGCGCTACCTCGGTACCCGATAAATTCTCCCGGATGGAGGATGAAAATAGAAATTTCCGCGACGCGTATTAATCGCGACGTGTATTAATCGCGCGGAATCTGGAGTGAAAATTATGTGGGGCATGCTATTATCATTTACGACACAGCAACCACAAATTAGATCTCTGTTAATATATATATATATATATATATATATATATATAGATTTAAAGATTAAGAATTAATGAGAGAGAGAATTGCAGCACCGCCCTGACCCCGGAGTTTTCCCCGGTTTTTCCTTGTAACTGCCCCCCGCCGCAACGGCGTTAATTTCCCGCGGTTTCCATTCTTGAAGCCGTATTGGACGGAATTCCGTGCTCCGCGATGTGTGCGATGTTTGCGGATAAATCGTCGTCCCCGACCCCTTACCTACCTCCACGTTTTTCCGCCCCCTCTCCTCTTTCTTCTCCTGCCGATTCTTCTCCTTTTCCTCTCGCTTCCTCCGGGCATCCGCGTTAAATAATAAATACGAGAGGGTTCTTCGGGAATACCCCGAGGGTGCCATTAGCGGGGTACAGGCCCGCGCCCTCGGACTTACCCTCTCGCACACTTCGAGACCCAATCCCCCTCCCCGTTCCGCGCTCGCCACCGTCGTCTTTGGCTTCTTCCATGACTCGAAACGCGAATCTAATACACTTAGAGGCGAGACGCGCGGCGCGCTATGGAAAAAGGGCGAGGGTCCCAGCGATCGCTTTATGGA